GGTCATGGCAGTCAGCAAAGCTGGTGCACAATTTGGGGTGGACGCTTTGCAGGAAAGAAAGGGATTGCTTGTTGGTGTTGAAATTTGGAGTATGGCCAATGAAATGAGCTTAATCTAAATCAGAAGACCTGCATTCTAGGCACAGCGCTGTTGCTTAACTGTGACCTTGAGCAAGTCTAAAAAATAAGATGACCTGACTAAGTGGCATCTAAATTTAGAATGCTGTTATTGTTTATTATTATCAGTATTATTAAAAAGAAGTGCACGTAATAAGAGATTTTATGTTTGGAGGGGGTGGAGATTGCAAGTTGTTAATGAAACCATTTAAGAGGGAAATTTGGCAGCTACAAGGGAACTTATTCTTTTTTGGAGTAGTCTTAATAACCAAGAGGCCTTTCCTAATCACTGTCAGAATGGAACTGTCCAGTTAGAGAGCATGGAAGTCTCTGAGCCCAGGTATGGTAACAGAATGGTGAAGTGATGAAAATGACTAGTTGTGGCCTCATTACTGAGGCTTACTAAGAATGTACATATTTCCCTGGAAGCATGTTTGGAAGTGTGGGAACCCATGGCTGGACTTTTTTCATTGGTGAAACGACTTTTAATTTAACATGAGTATTTATATGTCAGTATCAGTGAAAAGGAGCAAAAACATGAATAATTTAACAGATTGAATAGCAAAAAAAATTTTTTTGAATTTTAATTTAAAAATTTATAGCTAAATTGGTCCTTGGCCCCAATAATGAACCCACAGTGTGAAGACCTATTTTGGGGAAGGCACTATGTGTTTTCTCTTCTACCAATGTCCAATGCTTCCCAATAGCCACTGCATACAAGGAATGCTCAGATGCTTTAAAAAATTTGGCAAATTGAGCTACCTTATCTCTCAATGCAGCCTAGGCATAGGGATTAGTTACAGTTGTTAAAACTGGAAAAGCTCCTTGTTTCAATATCTCAGTTTTATAGATAAAGAAAGCAAGGGCCCCAAAAGCTAAGTCTCACAAGTGGTTAATGTTAGAACTGATTCTTTTACACTACATCACACTCTTAAATGTTGGAAGGGATTACTATAGAAGTTGCTTAATAAATGTTTGCTGCTGAATAATGATTCTGAGATGAATTTGTCTTGTAACATCTATGGGAGCTGGTTTAAATCAGTGATTCTCATAGAGAAGGGGAAGAGGGAGTCATGTGTAGTTCAAAAACAAAGCAGGTCTTTGTCTTACTGCTTTGGTTTGTTTTTAGTGAAGATGTTTATTTTGAATTTCAAATTACATTAAAAAGAGAACAGGAGATTTTTAAGCTTACTAAGGATGGTTGTACCTGTAAGGGAACTCATGTGTTAGCTTTCCAAAGCTCTTTCCAGAATTTTGCTTCTGTGAATGAATAATATATTTTTTTCACTTGCTATTTTTTTTTAGTTAAAAATGAAACTAAAAATGGGTGATTTAGGCCATGAAATTAGTGGATGAATCATCTAGGAATCTGCTTCCTTTTTGTAGGTAAGACAAAAAGGAATTGCAGGTGGAAACAACATATCAACTTATGTCCATCAACTGATGAATGTGAGACAGGGAAACTGAAGGACTCCATACAAATCTGCTTTTTGCTCCTTTTCCCACTTTTATTCTTGCTAGGACCTGCACCCCCACTTTATACATGCCTCAGAATGCAAATAGTGTATGTCCTCCTTTTAAGGAACAAGCAGTTAATGATTCCTTTAGAATAGATAACATCTAAAGAAGGACCGAGTGAGAATGACCAAATGAAGCCATCATATGCATATTCCAGACCACCATTGGAGCTAGACATCTTGACGCCATGACCCCCTGCTTCCAAGAAATAACATCTCGGTCCTTGTCTTTGTTCTAACTGGTTCCTGGATGCCTGAGAGGACACATACACCAAATCACAATCCTCAATAAAGACCTCTAAACCCCAAGCAAAGACCAGACTCCCTCCTTTCCTTTCTGAGTCTCCCAGACACTCCATCTGTGTCTGCTCTCTCTATGTCTTCAGTAAGCTCTGCTCTCACTCCTTGCTGGTTCACATTTGATTTCCATCCTTCACAAAGCCAAGGACCCTCTTGGCTGGTCCTGTGGACCCCCTCCTGGTTCCTTGGACCCGGCCTGCCAGCATCAAATGGATAAAGTGTGATATGTCTACACTATGGAATATTATTCAGTCATAAAAAGGAACAAAGTACTGATACATGCTACAATATGGCTGAAATTTGAAAATACCATGCTAAGTGAAAGAAGCCAGACACAAAAGGGTACCTATTGTATGATTCTATTTATATGAAATGTCCAGAATAGGCAAATCCAGAGACAGAAACTAGATTAGTGGTAACTCCTACCAGAGTTTATGGGTTGGGGAATGAGGCATTACTGCTAATGGATATGGGGTTTATAATGGGTACGGGACTAGATAGTGTTGATATTTGTATAACATTGTAATGTACTAAATGCCACTTAGTTGTACATTTTAAAATGAATTGTATTGTATATTTTACAATTAATAAAAAAGGAATCACACCAGTGACATTTCACTATATCAACCCTTTCCATCTGTCTATGATTTGTGAATAGAGCTAGGCTTTGGGATGAAAGGGCAGCCATCTCGCCTATAGTTAATGGTTTCTTTTGGTTTCTTTTCTTTTCTTTCCCTTTTATGATTCATTTATTTATTTTAGGGAGGGAGGAGGGGCGGAGGGAGAGGGAGGGGCAGTCTTAAGCAGACTCCACACTGAGCACGGAGCCCAACATGGGACTCGATCTCACAACCCTGAGATCATGACCTGAGCTGAAACCAAGAGTTGGACACTTAACCAACTACCTCACATAGGCGCCCCTGCAGTTAATGATTTCTATGTCACATATATAGATATATAATTATAAAAATGCAGTTTATAAATCATTATATTATAACATGTTTTATATATTAATTATATAATACAGAAATAATTTATATATTTACATATAACATAAAATATATTATTCTATAATATATAGCATATAATTATATAATAATATGTAATTATATAATAATATATGTATGCTTAGAGGTGGGGGTGGAGGGCCAGGGCTTATATATAAATATTTCAGAGAAATTTCTGTTTCTTCTGTAATCGTCTCCAGAGTTATAGATAAGACACTGCCTTCTTGTTTAAGAGTGAAAAATCTGTTGGAAGAGGTCTTAGACTTTCTTTTTAAACTTTCACCATTCCCATCACTGACTTGAGAACTGTGTCTATATGTAGAAAAACCAATAGACTGATTAAAAACAGAAAAGTTTAGATCAAGCCTTAATTTATCTGGACTGCAAGTAATCATGTGGATGGAGTGACAGGAACACACTCAACAGTCCTGCTGTGTTGTGGCTGGCTGTTTATTCTGCTTCCTTATATGGCTCTTGGTTAGAGCTGTTCTCTCATCACTGTTTCTATGCCCCTATAACAAAAGCCCATCCCCTGTTCACACAAGAAGTTTGTGTTTTGTTTCTTGATTTCTTGGTGAACTTTCTCTTTGACAATTACTGCACATTTAGTCAACAGTTTGAGAAATACCTGTTTCCGGATCGAGGTTGCCTGGGTGTCAGAGGTTATTCATACGTGCTTTGAAACTGGATGTAAGAGAAAATTGGCTGCACACATTCTTGTGGCATGATTTTAGCAGTCTTTTTGTTTCCTCATCTCCTAGATTATCTATTAGAAAAAAGTCAAATGGTTGTTCTTGCTGTAGAAGCTATAACTAATTTTTTCCTAGACAAAATTATATTGACTGTCACTGGTTGCACTTAAAAAAACCTTCAAAGATAGAGTGATCCTCTAAAAGAATATTTATTTTTATTTATTTATCTATTTATTTATTTATTTATTTTAAAGATTTTATTTATTTATTTGACAGAGAGAGAGAGACAGTGAGAGCAGGAACACAAGCAGGGGGAGTGGGAGAGGGAGAAGCAGGCTTCCCGCGGAGCAGGGAGCCCGATGTGGGACTCGATCCCAGGACCCTGGGATCATGACCTGAGCCAAAGGCAGACGCTTAACGACTGAGCCACCCAGGCGCCCCAAGAATATTTATTTTTATTTAAAAATATGATACATCAAAGTGAAGCAGTTACACTTTAAACAAATAAAACATAAAACCTTTTCTCTGAATTCAGAGGGAGGGCAATTTGCTTTAGTTCACAGTCACTCTGGATGCCAAGAATAAGAACTGTTCTCATTTTCTTCCTCTGTGAGCATCAGATATAAAGATGAGAAATTTTAGTTATAAGTGAAGTTTTAGAGTTTTAATTTTATTCAGAAACTAAAGCGTCCTCAGTACAATCCCTTTTCTTCATTTTGTTCTACATCTTGTGGAAGACCTGAATTCAGGGGTGTTCTTACATTTACCAAGTGTTAAAGATTGAATGTTTGTGTCCTCCCCAAATGTTGAAATCCTAACTTCCAATGTGATAGCATTATGACTTGAGGCCTTTGAGAGGTAATTAGGTCATAAGGGTGGAGCCCTCATGAATGAGATTAGTGCTCTTATAAAAGGGACCCCAAAAGAACTCTCTCGCTCTCTTTCTACCATGTGAAGATACAAGTCTGCAACCCAGAGGACAGCTCTCACCAGAACGCGACCATGCTGGCATTTCGATCTTAGACTTCCAGTCTCCAGGCTGTGAGAAATAAATTTCTGTCGTTTATAAGCCAACCAGTCTATAGTATTTTATTATAGCAGCTTGAACTGATGAATACACCGAATTTGCTTCTTCAGGTCAATTCCAATATAGTTTTAAAAGAATTTGTTTTCTCATCCCTCTCTGTAGATTTCTCAATATAATAATTATTCTGTGGATAACTTATTCACTTTGAGAATTTTGCTTACTTTTCTGTTTACATTCATAATAAAAAATTTCTGACAAAATTTAAAATATTCAACAGAAACCAGCATACTATACAATAATCTGTGTTTAGACTAATAATGAAAATAAAACCAACGCAAATATGGTAGATCTTCATTTTCTAAAGAAATATATCTTTATTGACTTTTTCCATTTTCTTACAAAGCATTTAAAAAATTCATTCTTGAACTTGCATGCTGTTCAATGTTATGATGGTTGCCTCCTTATGAGACTGTCAGTGGAGCTGTAGTAAGTTTCCTTAAGCACCACAGAAAATAATCATTGCTTTGTCCCACTTTTACAGAAAAGAATCCAAGTTTCATTGACTAGAGTATGCTTAGCTCTCTTGAAGAAGACCAGTTTAGTGGATTAATGTCTAATTTACATAAGTAATAAAGACAAACTTTGAATCTTTACAGATTAAATGCCCACTTTATACCATGGTGTAATTGTTTGAATTATTGGTGAGTGTACAGCATATAGATGTAGATGTACTAGATACGTCTATAAATAAAATAGTGCTTTATGGTATCAATATTCTTTGGCTGATTTAAATGCCTATAGTGGACTCTTTCAAAAGACTAAAATGAAAATGGCCCCACTATTATTGTCAATCTTAACACTGAGCTTGTGCGGAAGGTTCCTATACTGTTGACTGTTAGCATCTCCAGGTCCACGATATATTCTCTTGGTCCTGATAGCGACTTCACCAGCACAAGCATTGCACTTACAGGACTTGTTTGCTAAAATAAAAGAAAAAAGAGGGAGGGAGAGAATAATTTTTGAATTGGAGTTTCTATTGTAAGTATATCTAGTCCTATAAGAATTAGGGGAAGAATTTTGAGGATAGGATAAAACTCACTACTTAATTCCTTTTTGGTTTCAACCTTTCTTGGTTCTTTTCCCCTTGTCCACACATAGTCATTAGTTCCAAGTTACAGGGACCTGCTTTTTTGATAGTTCTGTGTTTTCTGTTCATCCCTCTCTGTTAATGTTTCTCTTCACTTTTACTGAGTTGTACCAGCCTTTATAGAGACTGTAGTTCAGGTGAGAATCTGATAATTTTTGAACTGGTAAACAAAGTTATCACCTTTCCCTTCTTAGCATTATGCATTTGTTTACATTCTAGTAGGTGAAGAGACATGTAAACAGTTAACTTCAATAGAACATAGCAAATGCTAAGATACATGAGGTTATGTAGGATATGTGTGAAGATACATAAAAGTGAAAAATACAGGGAAAAAGAGAAGGAACCTTGAAGCATTGAGGGGAGGCTTTTGAATGTCTGAGGAGAGTCACCAAAGATAATTGGAAGTTTTATAAAGAAGTATGTTCAGGAGAACTGGATGCAGTTTGATTTTGATGAAGAATGTGATGGGTGCTGGAGAGTAGAGGAAGATGAGTTGAGGGGCAGGTTAGTAGATGTGTGAATCTGAATGCCAGAGGAAAGCAGGGGTAGAGACAGTGGATTAGGATTTAGCAGTCACTTCAATGGGTGGATATTTAAACCAAGGGAGAGAACGTATACGTGATAACACTGGAGCTGGGAGAGGCCAATATTTGAGGAGTGGGCAGAGAAGAAGCCATTGAGGGAAGCTGAGAAGAAACAGATGATTAAGTGGGAAACAGATGAATGGCTAGCAGTATCCATTAGAGTAGTAAGCAAGGCTGAAGGAGCCTGGAACTGAAAAATGCCCTCTGGAGTTAGCAGTATGGATGTCATTGGTGGCTTTTTTCAGGGCAACTTCAGTAGGGTAATGGGAACAGAAGATAGAAAAGGGTGACTAGGAAGTGAAAATTTAGAGACTGTGTTTATAGGCTGTGTTTTAAGAACCCTGGGTGGGAAGGAGAAGAGAGAGGGGGCAACATCTACAGGGAGGCAAGTTGAGTATGTAGGAGGTAGATGGGTGTTTGATGGAAGAAGATTCTAGAGGAGGTGGAAGGAAGAGTACAGGTGGTGAACTGGCCTTGATTGACAGAAGTGAAACCTCACCTTTGGAAAACTCAAGGGAGAAGGTAAAAAGGAGGACACATGAACCTAAATTTGTAGGGGGTGAGTGGGAAGTTCAGGTAATTCATATCTGTTGGCCTCAGTGGTTTCAGAAGGGAAGGAGGTGAGGTCACCTACTGAAAAAGAAGGGTCCAAACTGAAAGGATGTCCAGACTGAACTCACCTTCCTCTCAACACTGGCTCCTTCTTCCCTATCTTAACAAATGGCACCACCACCACTTACTGTTGCTCAAGACAGAAACTTATCTTTGGAAGTTACCTTTGGTGCTTCCTTTCCCTCCACCTCCCCATAGCAAATGACTCACCAAGTCATCTAGTTCTTTCTATATCTTCATAAATCTGTCCACTGTTTTTGGACTCACTGCCACCACCATAGTACCCCATTCTCTTGAACTACTAACTGGTCTCTTCTATTCTTGTCCCACTCCAAACCAGGCTCTGCAGTGTAGCCAGGCATCATTTTTTAACATGAAAATCTGATAGCAACTCCTCTACCTGAAACCTTAATATGATCTTTAAGGCATTCTGTGATCTAGGCTCTGCTCATCTCACCAGGCTCCTCTCAAGCCACTTCACTGGCAGCACTTGGGACTTTCAGACCAACTGGACTGCTTTTTATTCTTTCCATTTTCTAGTCTTTAATTGTTAGTCTTCAGCTTAAGTCCACTTCTTTCAGAAGCTTCCAGACCACTCCTATCTTCTTAGTGGTTGACTTGGTAGGCACTCATGAGCACTTGCAACTCCCTATTGTAACATTCAGCATACTTGTGAGCACTTGCTCTGTGTCTTGACCATGAGCTCCACTGGGGCAGGAATTGGCTTAGTTTTATTCACTGTTGTGTCTCCAGGACCCAGCATGGTGCTTGCCACTTGAAGGTAATAGTAGTACCTTGAAGGCACTAGTTGAATTAATTCATTCATTTAAAAATATTTTTTTGAGCACCTGCTAGGTGCCAGGTATATTCCTTGTGCTGACTATAGAAGAGTGAACAAACAGGTAAAGTCTGCTCTCATTACACCCACACTGTAGACCACACACATAGACCAATGACTACTATGCAAAGTGGTGATAAGGGCTATGAAGAAAATAGGCTCAATAAGCCATAGATACTGGGTGGCATGGATGGGGAGGATGGTATTCTACCTTCAATTTTATGTACTACTTCTTTACAGTATGTCCACTTTTCTAAGGAAGAGGGTTTTCTCAGTATTCTCCAAAAAGGAATATAAATAAAATTCTATATTCTACGGATCCTTCAAAGATCAGGTCCAGTATCATGACCATCAAGAAACATTCTTTAACTGTTCCAGCCAACATTAATTCTTTGATGTCTTGGACCATGGAATTAAACATAAATTGCTCCCTTCCCACCCCCCACAGATGTTAACTTTTGCCACACGTAATATTTAAAGCTCTTTAAAATAAGGAAGTATGTATTACATGCACCTGGCATGGGGCTGAGCATACAGTGGGTGCTTAATTAAGGCCTGATGATTGATTTTTACACATCAAATGCTCTCTACACAAGTGGATTTTCAGTAGAAAAATTTTGTAGGATTTAATCCAAGTACTTCTTGAATTATGTGATGATAAATAATCTTAAAATGACTTTTTATTTCAAATAGTTTTTGTTTCAAATAACTTAATATTTAATTCTGGGATTAGCAAAATTGCCAATGTTTTATATCATTCATGGAAAAAAAAGATTTTACTTGAGAAAAACACTGTGAGAATTTATATTTGAAAATATCAAGTCGATAAATGCACTGATATGAATCATAAAACTTTTATGGTGCTATGTTTATTGCAAGGAAAATAACATGCTGGAACTTTGCTTATCAACTTTGTTGATTTTACTAGAAATTTTACTTTCTTAAATAATAGCTAAAAGTTCAAAGTGGAAAACTATTTTTAAAAAGGATTTTGAGATGAACTTATTTTATTGCCATGGGTTACAAATAATGTTGTTTGTTTGGACTAGAATTATTAAATTGGTATTATCTGAACTGTGTGAAATTCATTTAAAGTAAACTTCTTACAAATATCTAGTATATCTCAAATTTAAAGCATCAAATGTTAAAGAAGTTTATTCTTAGCTATTAGAAAAAAAGAACAGTAATAAATTTTGGGTTGGATTTTTCTCTTCAGAAGTTGGTCATGAGAAATTAATCATTTCTAATTTACTGGCAAAGAAGCAGAATCACATAATTCTGGAGTTGGAAGGGAACTTAATATATCAAAGAACGGGATAAACATGTAAACATTAAAAATCTGTAAACTTTACCACAAGAATGAATTTCCCAATTTACTTTTCATGTTCTTAAAATGAAAAATTGACTTTAAAATTTGATTAAAAATGAAGAGTGCCCAAAGGAGTTTTGAGAAAATTGTAACTGGATGAATAACATAGCGTGAAACAGTTACCGGAACCCTGCAAACGGCTTGGTGGGGTGCCATCATTTGCACATGAAGTGGTGAGCCGTATTTAAAATATGTCAGAATTTTCACCTAAAATGAACTTGCTGAGATGTTGTCTGGGGCCTGGAAGGCTGAGGCACTGGAGTCAGGGAGATCTGCTTGGAAGCCCTTGGAAGGATGAGGGGGTATGAAGAGCCAGTTTAAAGGAAGAGAGGCAGGGGCACGTGGAAGCAAAGATATCCATCAAGAAAGAAATGGCAGAATTCAGAGAAAGATTTCATATAGGCATGAAATAAATGGAAAACACAAAGGTGACCTCACATTATCTGCCTAAAGTTTGCAAGAAGGGTACAGCTACTGGCACATTTGGTGCAGGGGGTTGGGGTCATTGCTCACAGACTTCCAATTTTCAATTTTGGTGTGAATGTAAATAATTTTGCAGATGTAACAACAAGGAATTTATGGTTTTTGAAAAGCTCTCCAGAAATTATTTTTTCTATGTACAATTAAATAACTATCACTAATTGGTGGTATCTATTTGGAGTATGTGTGTATGTGTGCATTGATTTGTGTTCTGCTGGTCACACACAACTCCATTAGAGTCTTCAACTTGGGATCTGAGTGACTTTAGAGAAGCTACTAAATCTGAGTCTCACTGTTCTGTAAAAAGGGAGATGAAATATTTAGCATCTATCTGACAGTGTTACCAAGAGGATTAAATGAGATAATGCACACAGGAAGACCTTACACAATGCTTGCACATAAAAACTCCTTAAATGTTAGCTTTCCTTCCAAGTGAATACTGCAAAACCCCAGCAAACTTGCACCTGTCCCAACAGCTACAGCTGCCCTCAGGGTACTACTCACTCTTAGGTAGAACTCTCCATTTTCATTTCCAGATTTAATCCGAAAAGTATTGATAGTGTTGGCATAAATGGTTGTGGCCTGTATCTGGAAGATGTCTGATGGCACAGACCTATCGGATCGGATGCTCATGTACTTGTAGACTATAGACTGGGGAAGTTCTCGGCACACTGCACTTGAGACTGGGCAAACACATCGGCTGCAGAAAAAAACAAAAGTATTTCCCAGTTTAGCGTGGGAAGACCAGAAGGTTCTCACTTTCAAAAGCTCTGATTTTTCTTACTTCTCTGATGTTAGAACATAGGGATCTTGACAAGGATTTCGTGGGTAACAACGGAAGCCGCCATGGTAATTCCAACACATTTCATCTTCCCGACATTCATTTGTGGTCTCACACTCATTTATATCTGTAAACACATAGGGTCAAAGAATTTACCGATCTAAGTAAATCGTATAACACTTCATAGCTTCACTTCTTGTGCTGTGCTTCCTCTGGACAGTGTAATCCACTGTCCAGAGCATCAAGTCTCCACCCTCATACCTTGCTTACCAAAACCACACCTCTAGGCTTTACCTCTCTTGGAAGCTCCTGAGTCAGTCAAATGCCCTCTCCATTGGTTTTGCTTGCTGCTTTCCCAGCCTAGAAGGCCCTGCCCACCCCAACCATGAAAATCCCATCTAACCGGCACACTTCAAGGCCAAATTGAGATGTCTCTTCCTTCCTGCAGCCTTCTAACCCTCCACGCAGAATTTATTCTGCTTCTAATCTCCCAGTGCACTTATCCATCTCTTATTTAATTCCATTTTATTTTATAATTAACTATTGCCATATCTATATTCTTAACTAAATTACAATCTCCCCGAGGGCAAGAATTGGTGTCTTTCACTTTTATATAAGCATGGTCAATGGTTAACGTTTGGCTTTGAATTCAACAGATGAACGAACAATAGGTGCTTGATAAAAATATCATAAAATGACACATACTAATCTGTCTGGAATGACTCAGCTACATCTGTCCTCAATTAAATGCAATGAACTCAGGTCCTACTCAGCCTTGTGTCTAAAAGCACATTAAACTTAGCCCAGATCCCCATACAACCTGAATCTATCTGGATGTGTTCCACCTTGGGTGGCATAGCTATTTGGAGACTGTGTGGAAGAAGGGGAATTAAAGCAGGGGCTGTGATGAGAGGCAAGCTAGGAAAAGACAGTGTGAGGAAGCCAGAAGGGCAGAGAGTCCCAGAAAAAGAGTGCTGTGAGAAGGCGAGGCTGGACAAGGACTGGTTTTGGATTTGGGAATTAGGAGCCTCCAGATGACATCTGAGAGAACACTTCCACTAGAGAGCCATTATATTTACTACTAGAACAACAACAATGAAAATTCTATTAATATTCACATCCCTAGCTATGTCTACCTCCCTTTACATTTGAATAATGATTTCGATTTTATCCATTATAAGTCTTTTCTGAATCCTTCTGCCTCATAACCAGACACTTTCATTCATTAATTTACCACTTCCATAAGTAATTTACTGAATCCCTGCTACAAGCCAGAAATGGGCGAGTTGCTGGGGTTTAATCTGTTTTTCCTATCAGAATTCTCACACTCTATGTTCTTTGGGGGGGGCTTTATTGCTCTCTGCTTTGCATTACTGAAATCTGCATGTTTGTCTTAACCCCTCTATTAGCTTATTAACCCCATTAGAGCAGGACTATAGTATTCATCTTTATATCCCTTTATCACCTAGCATTAATGCACTCAGGGGCACCTGGCTTTTAAGAAATATTAAAATGAACTAAATTGCTCTTCACACATATCATGTAGACATAGATGAGAAAGATATTATCTCTACTTGACTTGGAGGAAAAACAAATAAGGGTTAAGTAAGTGGCTCAAGTTCATACAGGTAGTGACAGGCATGTTTACACTGTAAGGCACTACACATCCTCTAAATAAGAATAATTCCATGCCTTGTCCTTGGAGGTAAAAAATTTTCTTTTAGCTTCCAAACTGGTCAAAGCTATCTGGAACCCAAGGGGAGACTGGAAAAGTTTCCAAGAGTTTCCAAGAGTCAGTTATACAAAGTATCTTCTTTTGGACTGGCTATGGCTAAAGAAAGAATTTAGATCCCTTGGAAGAAATCATAATTGACTTGTCCTTTCAATATTCTTCACTTCTCAGAAAAATAAAGATGCTGTTAGCTACAAGGAGAACTAAGACTGCTTTGTTATATGGATACCAAAAATGGCAAAAGGAAACTTTATGTAATAATTTCATTTATTACTTCCATTAACTTAGAGCCTAGCATAATCAATATCTTAATCATTCCGGAATGTTTTTCAGGAATTATTAATAGTATTAAAATATTTGATGAATGTGTGTCTGTGTGTATATGTATTCTCTCTCTGTCTCTATTTCTCTGTCTGTCTCCTCTGTGGCCTCCTCCACCCCACCCAAACACACACAAAATTTTCATTTTTGCAAGGTTGTGGAAATGAGAACAGTTTTTTCATCCTCAAAATAAGCCTTTTGGGTCAAGGTAAGAATCCATACTCTTTTGGTTTTACTTTAGTCTATAGATGAGGTTGGGAAGAGATGATTTTAATGGAGAAAACCAATTGCTTTGTACCTTAAAAGAATGTTAAGTCTCTCTCATAAAAAATGTTTTGGCTTAACCAAACATTCTGGAGCTGCATATCTTCAAGATATAACACTCATGAATCCCTTATTTGCAATTCCAGTACATTTTTCACCTTTAATTGTAACAGATATGTTTCCATATACATAGAGTAGGCAGGTAAGATTCCACTGTATGTTAATTTACTTCTGTCCTTTGCTGAGTACCAAATCCATTTATGATCAAAAACACATAGACATTTATTTGAAGGACTCCAGGGAAATTGGTTAAGATATCCCACTGGCTAACATCTTCCTTCCTCCATGTAATATTCATGTTAAAAGTCTCAGGCTTCAGAAAGTAAAACCATCAGAATGCAATGTTTTTCCACAATTAACATTAGAGCCTCTAGGAACTTGGAAAGGGGTATAAAGGTGTTCATTGTGCAATGAATGGCATTCTGATTACGCTCATACTTAGTGGTTGGAGTCTAGTTGAACGATCATATGCATACTATAAAATCCCAGGTCCTGGGTGTTCCTCTGAGTTAATATTCTCCTGTAAAATCATGATATAGACTGCAAATCCCTAGTGTCTCCTTTCCTTGATTTTTTCCTTTTTTAAAAGATTTTACTGCCCTTGTATGTCCTTTCTCAGTTCTGATTAAAGAGGACTATCTCGGACAGATTTGCTACTAGTCACTTACATTGCTAAGTAAATTTTATGAAAACATCTTGGATTGTAAGCCTTTTTAGTTTACAAATAATTTTTATATGTGTCATCTCATTTCATGCTCACAACTCCCTTTTCCAAATGAGAAAGCTGAGGCTTGGAGACATTTGATAATCTGTTCAAGACTGTACAGAGAGAAGGCAGTATAGCTAGGACTCAAACAAATTTTCTGTCTTCAAGTTCAGTCATTTTTTCCCCACTCCTTCACTGCTTTATGTAAACTTTGTCTATACTAGCTTTTCTAGGATTATCTATACTTATGGTTTTTATCTGAGCAGACTTTTCCCTGTTAAAGAAATTTGAAACTACATGTACCATTGGAGGTGTGTAGGTATGAAGATCACCTGAGTTTATTTTAAAACTGGACCCTAGGATATTAGCTATTTTGGGATCAATGGGTTTTTTTGCTGAAGAATTCAAGCACATTTTAATACACATGAGGCTGATTTTATCAGCACCTAAATTACTGCCCAATTCATAATCTTGGTGTTTTAGAGGATATGAGACTGGTTTAAGGTTTGCCTAACCCACATACTAAGTTTATTCTCTAGACTCAAACTCATGGCGAAATATTTTAATAATTGAATCTTTTGGGGCAGGTGATTAGAAGATGTATATCATAGAGATTATGTAGGCTATATAGATGAGATATCATTATTTTATTAAAATTATTTATATCTTAAGAAAGAAAAACAATTACTTTAAGTTTTAAAAAAGTCAGTGTTAACTGAATAATACCATTTTAATGAGATGTGCATATTGCATGATGAACAAGGGAAAAAAGAGCTCAGATTTTATTCAAGAGGGAAAAAATGAAAGTCTATGGTAAAGGATCCTGTAACTTTCTCCCTGCTATTTTTCTGGTTAAAAATGAACACTTAACAGATATGAAAACAATAAACTCACCCTGACAGGTTCTACTTCTCACCACTTGGTATCCCTGGGGGCACATACACGAGAATTTCCCAGGTTCATTGACACATTGATACTGACACAGGTAGCTTGAGGTTCTGCATTCATCAATGTCTGTTGAATCAGACAAGAGCAGGGACACGGAGTTGAAAAACTTTCAGGTCACTGCTTTGGTAATATTTTTAAAGGTAAGGTAAGAGAGTAAAAATGCTGCAAACTCTAAAACAGAAATATAATACTTTGTAAGAAGCTCAGGGGAACATTCTACAATATCAGCTCATTTCCTCTTGAACTTCACCACACAAAGAGTTTTTCTTACCATCAGTTTACCTCAATCATTGCTGAGAGTTTGGTGAATCTCAGACCTAACCATACCGACTGAGCAGACTGAATGAAATGGGAATTCAGGGGAAGAATGCTTTGCATTTCTCAACGGTGATGTCCTTATAGTTTGCTCAGAAGGGCAGAGGGTCAGCTCTCCAGAGCCAGCCCCTTTTGGTTTTGAGCATAGTGGCATGATATGAGGTCTCTCTGGGTGGGTTATGACCTTTGTGACCCGAAGTAAAGCTGGGAGGCCCCAAGTGTCAATGGCATTCCCCTCAGGATGTCTTATGCCTTCTGAATTGCACAGTGGAACATGCATGGGCAATGGACTCTGAAGGTCATCCTTCCAATTAAATGGCCCTCTTTTTACTCATGTGGAAAGTGAAACCCAGGCAACTTAAGAAATGTGTCCAGTGGAAAGTTACAAATAAATTGAATGCATAACATAAAAAAAAAAGAAATGTGTCCAAATCACACAGTGGTGGGAAAAAGACTAGAGAACAGGTCTCTTGGTCTATATTCTAATGTTTCTGACATGTGATTAGCTCTCTTCAAAATTTAAATGTGCATACAAGTCACCTGGGATTCTTGTTAAATGCAGCATCTGACTCAGAGGTCTGGGGCCTGAGATCTGTATTTCTCCCAAGTAGAGACAAGGAAGTGTCATTGCTGCTGGCCATCAGATCATTTTGGGAAGCAAGACACTAGAACACTCCTTCTAATTATTAGACCCAGTCTTAATCTAATATTTCAGTTATTTTGTTCCTTCTCCTTTCTCTTGATAACATACTAAAAAGCCAATGTTATAATTGAACTTAATTAACTGGATTTTAAAATAGAATTCCCATGGTTAAAAATTTGTTTTCATAAACAGACATAATTGGATAAAGCAACAGCAATTATTCAGACTGAACTGTTATTACAAATTATTGGAAAATATTTTACCTTCACAGTTGAGCCTGTCACTGCTCAGCTCATATCCTTGATTGCACTGACAGATGAATGAACCGAGAATATTGTAGCATTGCTGAGCACATTGATTGCTAGCGTCACATTCATTTATATCTAAGAGGAAACATTATATATATTTATATGTTTATGTCTTAAAATATATCCTTGCTCTTTTGTACCTATGCCATCTAATGATAAGTGAATGATTCCCAGGTTGGATTCTTTGCCCTGCAGAAGCTCACTGGAAAACATCCATTCAGGTTTCATATTTGTTGGAATAACTTCAAACGTCTGTCATGCACTTCTTTTAGAAATACCAGAATATTTCTTTCTGGGAATGACAGTTTTGTGTTTGATGAATTTTTCCAAAAGAATTTAATGATTCTAATAAATATACATTCCAGTATCTATTTTCTTTTATTGTTGTTCAGATGCAAAGTGCCAAGTCCATAAATAATTGATATAAGACATTCATACTGATACGGTCTCTCAGCATGCTGTGGTGAAGATTTATCTGTGCTATTTATTACTTTTTAAATGGGTTCTGTTAAATTCCATTACAATTATAACATAAGCCTTTGAGACCCATACAGAGTTTTGCAATGCTCTAAGGCACTGAAAATATTGTGAAAAGGCATTTTTCCTGCACTAGATTCTTTCCATGTCATGCCAATCTTAAGATTGTGTGCCATGACACTGCATTCTGAAAGGGGAGAAGAAGCATGTATAAATCAGATGCACTTTCAGTGGAATTTTATGTACTTGAATTTACAGCATTGGCACCTTCAGCATTTATATCACACATTGTTGACTCATTGGTGTGTGTATATCAATTGATCTGTAGTTTTTTATATCTTTGATACACCACAGAGGAGAAGTAAAACCAAGGTTAACAAAGTTTTCCATTCACATCTTGATGTGTTTTAAGAAACAGATTAGTTATTGTCTTTTCAGCTTTATGCAGGGAAGATAATGCCAGTTCACTCAAGAGCACAGAAAACTGGAAATACTGCAACATGCCCTGATGTTTGTTTTGAAGACAGAAATCCGTCAGTGTGGCAGTTTCCCCAAATCTTACCTACACAGGTATAGTTGTTTGCGGCCAACTGAAACCCAGGACTGCACTGGCAATAAAATGATCCCGGTGTATTCACGCATCTTTGGTGGCAATATGGAGGGATGGTGCATTCATCTATGTCTGGGTTATCAGGCACACAAAGAGAACCACATTATTGACTATCCATAGCTGTTAGCTCTTTAGTTCTCAGCAGAACATTATCTAGAAAACCTAGCTGGAGAAAAATCTCATTTTAAAAGTAATCCTCTCTCTCTTTTTAAATTAGGGTTTATTTTTTTAAAAATATACTTTGGTTTGCATTCTGCAGTTGAGTGAGATGTTAAAAATAAAGACTCCATAAGGCTGGTTGAGTGGGTTGAGATTTAAAGACCGAAAAGCAATGAAGACTATTTCACATATATATGAGAATATATATGTCAGTTCGGGGATCTAAAAGATTATCTGTAATGACAGAAGTAAAAAAGGGCTATGGAAGAATCGACTGATGTAACATAAAACTAAGAGAAAGGAGGCGTGGTCTGTTGCTCGGCTGATGACTTTGGCCAAGTCACATAAATGTTTGGCATCTTGGTTTTTTCTTTTGTAAAATGTGGATAGTAATGCTTGCTATATGTATCTTATGAAGTTTCTGTGAGAACCAAATGAAAGAACACTGTGGAAGGAGTAGGATGCTAAACAAATTACCTCTTGAGAGTGCCCTCTGACACTCTGATGAAGTGTTCCAGGCTCTGTTCTTCTCAGATAAATATTTCCAACAATAAAATAGTCAGTTGAGAACTTGCGGGGTAGGATTAATTAACATCTTAGAAGCATAATAAAATTTCATTAACTCTACACTTTGTGACAACTCTAACATGGCGTGTGTAATTTAAAATAACAATTATGCATGTAAATGTAAGACTGTAATGACACTACCTTATGGTAAAAAATGAAAAGAAAACAAGACTTTATACTGAGTTCTTCTGAATAAAACTGTGGGAGGCAGTATGCTCAAGTGGCCTCAGGATAACCTGAGATGAATCTTTGTTCTGGCACTTACTAGCATGGTCTTATCCTCTCAGAGCTTCCATTTCCTCTTCTGTAAGTGATAATACAACAATGTGGTAGACTTGTTGGGAGGATAACATGAAATTATATAGGCAAACTTCCTTGCAAAAAAACAGGTAAAAATAAATGGCAGCTATTAATAATAGGCTGCAAAATAGATTTGATTTCACTTGAATATTGAAATAAAAGGTAACGACATTGACATGGCTTTCCACCTCATTTATTGAGGTGTCTGCTCAAATGTCACCTCAGGGAGGCCATCTCTGTCCATCTATATAAAATGGCTTCTTCTGTGCCATCTGTCCCTTTTTCTGCTTTATATTTCTTTGTAGCCATTGACACTCCTTCACATTGTGTTATGTGTTTATTTGCTTCTTATCTATCTCCCTCACTATAACGCATGGTAAATAAGACCTGTTTCCTCTTCAGGTGAAGGTAGAATATTTTTTGTCTGTTCGCTGCTTTGTGCTTAATACCTGGAACAGGGTCTGGCATAGTAGGTACTTGATAAACATTAGTTGAATGAGTGTAGACTTTATACTAATTAAGAGCAATTTTAGCATAGTTCTTCCTAGTACACCATATTATAGCCAGGTGCCCAGTATTGACAGCTAATTTGTATAAATGGTCCCTCTAATAGCTCCATGAGGGATGTGATTCTGTAAAATGTGTTTGTTCACCATGAAGGCCCAGCACTTAGAACAGTATCTGGTACATAGTCAGCCCTCAGTAAATACTTGATGAATAAACGATGCATGTCTTTGCAACCAGTGAACATCCATTGAATCATTGTTATTTGCAAGCATTGTGTTTGGCACTACAGTTTTATAATGATCATAAATACATACAGTATACCCTGTCTAGCATGGACGAAAGGCATGAGAACATATTATTGCATGGAATGGTAAGATCAACAGTAGAAAGCTGTACAAGGGACAGAAAGAGCCCATTCTACTCAAGGTGTGACCTGCTGACCACTGTTGGTCCATGGACTATTTGGACCAGTCTGCAACAAATAAGTACAGAAATTGAGAAAAATTGAGAATATGTGTTTAGGAATAGCAATTTGTGTTACCACAACATTTTTTTATTGTACTTTATAGTAGTATCAATCTGCAACAGACTAGAAATTTACAAAAAAAAAAAAAGACTCATCAAGGTTTGAGAAGTAGTGACATAGAGGAGGGAGTAACTAATCATGTCTAGGTAAATCATGGAAGACTTCCCAGATGAAGTGACCCTGAGCTGGGATTTGGAAATTGAATAGGAGTTTGCCAGGGCTGCATGTCCCTGGTGCTGAAAGAGCTTATATAGAGGCACTAAAGTGTGACACTGTGTGATGTATGTGGGGAAATGTAACCAGTGAACAAGGCTGAAGTATAATATTTTGGGGGGAGAAGGGTGTTGATACAACAGAGCTGGGCAAGGATCTGATGGAAGAAGACCTTATATGCTCTGTTGATGAATGTGGAGTTGGTTCTGTGGGTGAGGGGAACAGCAGGGAAGCCACATGATTAGATCTGAATTTAAGAACGTTTCCTCCTGCCATATCATATAGGGCTGTAATCATACATTTTATTCCCTTTAATTTTTCCCATAGTAGGTTGACTTAGTTCTTTTTCTGTACCTTTTATACCCTCAATTGTTTATTTTCCTGACTAATCCATCAGGCAAAACTTTGGTGCTTGTGGAGTTTTCCATACAATATTCTCCTACATCACAGCTTCAGTCACACAAAGCCTGGGCCTTCCTCAGAGGCTGGGCACTCACCCCAAAACCTGGGCACAGCCCCGTGGCGGGCAGGACTGGGCCAGGGCCCTTGAGGAGCTCAGTGTTGACATCCTGACATCAACAGTGGACATTCTCAGGTGAAAATTAATGCTAGCTTCCTGTCCCCACATTCTTATTATCCTCTGTTCCAAAGAGGAAACAAGGACTCTTCACTGATGTATGTTAAAAGGTGGTATGTAAATCACTATCAATATCATATGAACACAATTGACATAGGGAGTCAGTAACAAAGTTTTACTCCTAGTGCTGGACCTCATGGCTGAACACAGAACACATTTACTTTTACAGTTTACTTCTCATTTGCCAGTCAGTATCCTCATACTGTAGTCTTATAGTCATTATAAAAAACAGTGCACAGAGCATCTACTTGGCAGGCACTTTTCAGGTCTGGGGAGACAGCAGTGACACAAACCAGACCCAGATCCTACCCTCAGGTAGCTTAAGTAGAGCTCTCAAGTAGAGGCACATGCTGTACTTAGCTTTGCATTCCCAGCACTGCACCCACGTGCAACATAACGAATGTTTAGTACATGTCTCTTAACTCATCACATAATGATAGCACACAGCTATTCCACCCAGGACTTGTCACAGCTCTAAGCACTCCCATACATGAGCTCCTGATTATGTAAGTCATTTGTCTAAAGCCTCAAAGTGAATTAGGGGTAGAGCTGGGATTTGAACCTCACCATGTGTCCTATAAGCTATGCTATTTTATGAACCAGTGAATGAAGGTCACCTCATCAATGTTTTGGTGCTATGGCCCCCAAATAGCTAATTTAAAATTATTTTCTTGGTTGCTTTTGTGGTCCCATTCATACTCCAAATTTTTGCTTTTGCTTAGTCTAACATGAGGCCAACACTTTGATATCCAGAATATGCTCACCCTTTAAGGTTAACTCTTTCTTGTTAATGTGGAAAATGGATCAGGAGTCAATGAAAGAATAAGCAGTTGTTAGTTATCATTCTCCAAATAAATATGAGTGCTTTGTTTTGAATGACTGAGGTTTAAACAAGTAAGAGGTTTAGGACAGGATTTTGCTCACTGCTCTGCTGTACTTACCTACACACTGCTCTCCTCGCTTCTGATACCCTGGAGGGCACTGACAGGCGAAGGAGCCTCGTAAATTGATGCACACTTGGTCGGCTCTACAGTTGTGAGTCCCTGCAGTGCACTCGTCTATGTCTGGTAAAGACATCCAGCACAGAGTTTGAGTTGGTTGTGCAGATGTTACTATTTCCTCCATTTAAAAAAAACCCAAAGAAGTATAAATGACACATAAGTGACATTCAGGTGTACAACATAGTGGTTCAACAACTCTATACATTACGTTATACTCACCGCAAGTCTAGCTACCATCTGTCACCATACAATGATACTATTGCAGTACCATTAACTACACTCCCTATGTTGAATTGTCATACTTTTTTTAAAGAAATAAAGGTTTTTACTTTATTCTTAAAACAATACTCTGTAATATTATTATATTAGAAATATTTAAAATGATAAAAGATTTCAAGCGTTCAGAAAAAAATTTCATATGTACCGGTGTGTACCACTCAGATTTAACACATGCTAACATTAACCAGTGCTTGTCTCGGCTCACTTTATTTCCAGAAATGAAGCATTTGAGACATAGCTAAAGCCTTACTGTATTCTCATCTCTTTACCCACCCACCTACCACTATCCTGGTAGGTGTGAATCCTTCCCTGAAATGGTTTTATACTTTTATTATACATCCATCCATTAGACTATACAGTCCATCCGTTAGAATATACAGTCCTGTTTTGTGTGTTTTAGTGTAAATAAATTGTATAATACTTCTACCCAATATATTGTATTTGAGATCATTTATGTTGACAAGTCTCTAAAGATCTGTTCAGTAACCAGATATAAATCAAACTTTAATACTGTGCATTTCCTGTTGCCTTTTTTTTTTTTTAACTTTAATTGCTGGGGTGCCTGGGTGGCTCAGTTCGTTGAGCATCTGACTCTTGATTTGGCCTCATGTCATGATCTCAGGGTCGTGGGATGGAGCCCTGTGTCAGGCTCCACGTTCAGTGTGGAGTCTGCTTGAGATTCTCTCACTCTCTCTTTTTGCCCCTCTCCCCCAGCATGCCCCCCCCAAATAAATAAATCTTTTTAAAAAAAAAACTTTTTTGGGGCCCCTGGGTGGCTCAATCAGTTAAGCATCTGCCTTCAGCTCAGGTCATGATCCCCGGGTCCTGGGATAGAGCTATATTGGGTTCCCTTAGCTAGGAGCCTGCTTCTCCCTCTCCCTCTGCCCCTCCACCCCCCAGCTCGTACTCTCTTTCTCTCTCTCTCAAATAAATAAATAAAATCTTAAAAAAAAAACCTCTTTCATTGCAAATTTCAAAATGCAAAGGATTCAACTTGTTCATATTCCTCTAGGAGAGATAAAACTGATGTAGTTGAAAATACCTATTTTCCCAAAGCATTTCATTTCAGTTTAAAAAAGATATTTCCCCAAAGCAGTTCTATGATTTACTAACTGTGCCCTAAGGAGTAGATAGATTATAGTTTCAGAAAAGTAAAAAAGGCTCAGTCATAATATAATGAATCTGTTATAATGAATTTCTTTGGGATCAAAGTGTGATGTGAATTTGTGCATGTGCATTCATATTACAGTAATTTATAAGTAAAATTTAATTTTGCCTTTTCAACATTACCTTTGCATTCAATTAACTCTCTCCCATTATGAAGTGAAATAGGTGAGTTAAGATTATGCGATTTTTGGCATTCTTCAACAACTGAAGTCTAAGCTTTGTTAAAAAATTTTATCGAACTTGGAATTCCTAGATGACAAATTTTGCATAGAAACTGAGAGCCTTAGATCATCACTGTGGTAAACCCAGGGTGGTGCTTTGGACAAACAGTGGGCTAAAATTCAATACAAAAGATGAGCCATCAGTAATTAGAATGTATTCCTCAATTCCTGCCTTCTCCTAAAAATGCTCAGAGAATGGTTCCTGCTGTGTTGCCTTTCAACTCTCTCTATTTCCAGGGAGAGCTGATGCACTCACTCTACCAATATAAGAATGTAGGAGGTTCCTGTTGTAAGAGAGTTGTCCTCAGATACTGGCTTTGAACGATAACAGAGATTCTTTCCAAAAGAAAGAAGGAGGGGAGATGAGAAATACTCGAGGGATGTATGGCTGTTTATTGGATAATACCCTATAAAAGCATCTACATAACATAATTCTTTGAACCTGGTTTTAAAGTTGTGGTGAACTTTTTGTGTTATTGTTTTTTATTTTTGTTTTGATATCCATCATCATCATCATTATTTTCAAATCAGTGATTCCAACTCTGTCCTCTTAAGGTACTATGCAGAGGTGCCACGGTCTTGCTTTGAAATTATCTGCTCTTTTTTGTGTCTTTTATTATATTCTCATATGCACTTGATGAAAACATTTCTACTGGGGTTTCTTTCAGAGCTTTATGACTCGCTAATGCAGAAATGACAGCAGAATTCCTATTGTTTTTTGTCAAGAGCATCTGCCAACATTTGCAGTGATAACAGCCCTGAGAGATACCAAAATGTGAGACTCAGATGTGGCAAGTTTCCTCAGTACATGCAGGCAGAAGATCAAGGACTGGGGCCGGCTGCTGCATGTTCTAAGGGAGGCCTCACCAGTGACTGCAGCTTTTCTTGCTGAGATCTCTCTGCAAACCGCCTCCACCCCATCGCATTCCCGATGTCCTACAATTTCCTTCCTACTTTCTTGTTCACTTCTAAGGCTCTTTGATAAATAGGCTAATATTTCTAGTGGACTTAATATATCATTAAATAGGTTTTAAATGTAAAAATTGTGCTACCTGGACCTACCCCTTCTTAAGAACCAGGTCCGCTGAACTTCTGAGAAAGATTATTGAGTAAAAATATTAGGTGAGTTAAAATAATTTAATAATAAAAAAATACCACTGACCCCATGCCACTATATTTTTTTCCTTTCTCTATCAAAACAAACAAACAAACAAACAAACAAACAAACAAAACTGCAATAGGACTCACTGCACTTAACACTGGTGATATTTTTAACACGCTTTGTACATACTTGGACTCACTTTAATTTTTAATTCTTTCAGATGGGAAACTTCCTGAAATTCAGTAAAACACAACTGCATGAAATCCCCTTCAAGAAATTATTCCAAAGGAGTTGAATGCATGCTCTGTCATATACCTAGAGCTGGATCTGCTAGGAAATGAACTGACTACATTTTCATTTACAGCTTCTCCAACTCAAGCTGAGATGATTTATCCTCTCCTTCGCTCTTAGCAGTTTATCTAATGCTGAAGAACACATAGACAGATAGGATCTCTTTGAACTATCTTCGATTATACTGTCAATTCGTACCATTATTTAAATAATACAATTTTATTATTTTAAAAGTTGTACTTTGAGACCCTGTTATTATTTACTCACAAAACATATGTCATATGAGAAAGCCATGTAAGAATTGTTATGCATTGTTAAACTCTCTTACACTTTTTTCTAAAGGTTTTATTTTTTAAGTAATCTCTACACCCAACATGGGGGGCTCAAATCCACAACCCTGAGATCAAGAGTCGCTCGCCCTACTGACTGAGCCAGCCAGCTGCCTCTATGCTTTTCTTTTCTACTTGTATGCATTTCTATTTGTCTTAAACATCAGAAAGTTAATGTGATAAGTCACTAAAACATACATCTATGTCAGAGACTCAAAGAATATCCATTCCTATGCTGGTATTTCAGAAGACCTGGTTTCCCAGACTTTTCATTTATGAAAGGCCTCTGTGGTGGGAGTATCTCAAATGGCAAAAGCACTGCTTTATTCATAAGGGAAATGACTCAGGTCAGCCATGATTTTCTTGGTAATCTAGGAAAAAGTACTCTGGGAGAGGAGTTTTTGTTTTGCTTTTAAACTGTCTATAATTTATCCTTGACAGTGAAGCTCACCAGGTGCTTAAACAATCAGTTAACACATTCCCTGGGCCCTGGCCCCAAACTCTTTGAGGATGGGGTCTACGTCTTACTTTTTTCTGGTTTCCTAATGCCTAGCAGAGTGCATGAAACATCGTGGGTTTCTGTTTGTTCAATAAATGGATGAATGAATGATAATCGTTTGCTGGAACCGATGCCTAGAGTTTGAAGGAAGTAGGATCAGTGTTTTATTTTATGGAACTAATCACTTACAAGGAAGGGTGACAGGCAAGATGTGAGAAACTGCAAAACCAGCAAGATGTCAGCACACGGAAACTGTAGGAAAGCAAAGTTGTTGAGAAGTGCAGAAACTAGGAGGCATAAGGCAGCATTGGAGGTGGGTGGCTGTAGAAGGATTGCTGGCCCAGGGGAGTTTTGAAGAAGGTGAGGCTATTTCTAGGCTGGAAGCAGGCTCACATTAGAAAACATCCAATGAAACAAGTGGTCTGCAAGGCAGTTGGAGTCAGCATGGCTGGAGGGGCTGTGTGTGAGGAGACTGCTGCGGTGCCTGCTTGAAGGTGCTCATAAAGTGGTAGCGCAAATCCTAAGCAAAAATTCAGGGCCTCAAAGTGGGATTGGAATTTGAATTGGACATCACGGGGAGCAGCTCTGAACTATGTAGACACAGCCTAATGTAAACATAGCCAAAGAACAAAATAATAGAGTGTGCTTCCTAAAATATCACAACACGTAAATCAACTCACATTTCATCATTCTAATGCATCAAGAATAGCTAAGGGCAGTATTTGGTGATTCCCTCATTTTTCAAAAATGTGCCCACACTCTCCCTCCTAGTGATTTATACTGTTTTAGGTCCCTTTCTTGCTGACTTTGGCACCATCATTGCTTCAAATAATGCAGTCTGATCTTTGCTCGGCTCTTACTCCTAGCCTCTTTATCATGCGGACCCCCAGTCTATGGGACTGCATACTTGGTTTCCTCTCAAAAGTTAATGGAGGCAACTGTGTCCACATCTCTGTGGTGTCCATTAAGTCCCTGCTTAGGCCCACATTCTCTATGTTTTTGGCTTCTTCCCGTCATTCTGACTCATATTTCCCAAACCCCTGACTCATGCTTCTTTCTCTCTCTTATGCAACATTTTAATCTCTGCAATGTTCTTTTCATAATTTGATAACTTACCACGACATGGACATGAGTGTGTTTTCATGGGCAAACATTTTCTGTACCTTAAATGCTTT